ACTAATTTAAACTGAGTATATGGGTCAGTGACAGAGCATTTGCCTAAAATCCCCCAGTGAGGTCTGAGGGCATGGCTCAATGATAGAGAACTTGTCTAGCATGGGCAAGGCCTAGAGTTTACTTCTGGAACTAAAAATCCTTTAGAAACAGAGGGAACAGATCAGTGTGGTGGTGCACGCCTTTAATCCCAGCCCTCAGGAGGCAGAGGCAGAGGCAGGTGGATCTCTCTGAGTTTGAGGCCAGCCTGGTCTACAGAGTGAGTTCCAGGACAGCCAGGGCTGCATAGTGAGACCCTGTTGAAAAGAAAATGAAAATGAAGGTACCATGAAGGGCTAACATCTTTCAGAGATGGAGAGATGTAGTTCAAACTTGCTGCTCTTACAGAGGACCCAGGCTTGGTTCTCGGCACATACATGACAACTCATAACAATCTGTAATTCCAGTTCCAAGGCATCTGAAGCCTCCTTCTGGCCTCTATAGGCTGGACATCAGACACATACATGGTGCGCATGCATGCACCCACACACACACAAACACCCATACACATAAGGTAAAATAAATAAATGTGTGTCTGTGTGTTTAATAGAGGGTCTGTCTGAAACAAATTTGGGTTAGAGCCTTCCAAAGGCAGGTTTCACAGTGAAGTTGGGTTTGAGTACCCTAGCCTCCTTGTAAGAAGAGTTCACTGTTGACACAGGCTCTGTGTGTTAGGAGTGGTGGGTGCTCAGTCACTACCAGAAGTTCACTTTGGCTACAACTATAAAGAAAAAAAATTGCTTTTGCTCTACTTTTGATGTAACGAGATTGAAAAGAAGTACAGTGGAGAATGACATGCCTAGGGATGCGACTCTGGGTAGAGTACTTGCCTGGCAAGCAGGAAGTCCTCTGTCTCCAGAAGTATGAGGAAAATGGCACAAGCCTGTAATCCCAGCTCTGGGAAGGTGGAGGCTTTAGGCTCATCCTTAACTATGTAGGGAGTTTGAGGCCATCCAGGGATCCATAATACCATGTCTCAAAAAGACAAAGGAAGAAAGCAATCAAGCAAGCAAAAACACAGCATGCAGATCCATGCCTTGTCAAGGACACAGTCCTGCATGGTCTTTTTGGATGTTCATTGTCACTAATGCTGGAAGGAGTAGCATTCGGCAGGGTGTGCTAGGCAGAGGACCAGTGGATTCTGCTGAGCTGAACTGTTCATCTATCACATGGTCATAATGCGCCTTCCCGCATGCCTGGGACTTGCATGCCCACCTGTGTCCGACGGAGTATCCGCATACCTGCTCCACCCCTTCTCACTTTTTCCTCTTCATTGAAGTTTTTTTTTTAAGCTGTGAGCTGTCTCTGCAGTGTAGGACGAGTGTTCCTCTAATGAGTGTGTTAATCTCCTTTCCTTTTCCAGCTGCCAATAACATGTATTCATTTTAACTCTGAATGCTGTTAAAGTTTTTGGTAAGTACCTTCACTACGACAGGTTTCTATTGAGATTTCTCTGAAACCTTTTTTGTTCTCCACTTCACCATTTCAGCACCCAACTCAGTGTTCGGCCACAAGGATAGCCCCAGTGTGCAGAACTTTAGCAATCCTCACGAACCCTGGAACCGGCTGCACCGAACCGTCGTTCCCGACCCCTCCGCCCTGGCTGAAGCCAGGGGAGTTGGAGCGCAGTGCGTCCGCTGCAGCCCATGACAGAGATAGAGATGTAGATAAACGAGACTCCTCCGTTAGTAAAGATGACAAGGAAAGGTACGGAAAGAAACCGCCCTGTGCCGCCCTGTGCCACACTCCAGTCAGAACCAGCCACCCCACCTCTCCCTTGCCCCAGCCTTGTGCTTAAGACCTCTGTAGCTCCCCAGTTCCTTTCCAGTCAATACCAAGTGGCCCTCCCTGCACCCCCAGACACACACAGCATGAATCTGCCATGTTTGCTTTTGAGTCGTGAAATCCATCCAGTCACCCATAGGTTTTTTTTGTGTTTTTTTGGTTTTGGGTTTTTTTCTCTTTTCGCTCCCTTTTCATTTGCTTCTAGTAAGTCATGTTTACATTACCTCATCCTCTTTTTCTCAAGTGTCATCCAAACTAAAAATCCTGGGGCTCACAATCGCTACAGCTTTGTTGTTGTTGTTGTTGTTTTTACTAATCTGAATTTAGACAGCAGCACCAGGAAACTCGACTTTGCATTTGGTTTTCCAGGGAATTATTAATTTTATTAACCATTGTTGACTCCATACTAACTATAACCCTTTCCTAAAAAATTCTTCAAAGAAGAAATGTCTCCGTGTTTTTGTGAAGAATGTGACATTCTTCACAAATATGTTCTTTTCTTTCTTTAGGCTATTTTCATTTGGAATAAAAAACCTGCTAAGTCCTGTCAGTATACACCTGGCAACAAACAAACAAAACATCCCAACCCCTATTGGTAATTTCCTTGTGTATTTAGGATTGAAAGTTAGGATTGCTCAGTAGGTAATAAACACAGCCCTGCAAGTGTAAGGGCCTGAGCTCAGGTCCTGAGCATCCATCCAAAGCTGGGCACAGTCCTGTGTGTGGTGTGTGTGTGTGTGTGTGGTAGTTCGTGTGTGTATGTGTGCTGTGTGTGTGTATGTGTGTGTTGTGTGTGTGTGTGTGCGTGGTGTATGTGTGGCGTGTGTGTGAGTGCGTGTGTGTGGTGTATGTGTGTGTGGTGTGTATGTATGTATGTGGTGTGTGTGTGTGTGTGTGTGTGTGTGTGTGTGTGTAATCCCAGAGATCTTGTCCCACCTTGCCTTTGTGTCTAATGCCCAAGGCTACTGTCTACCCTTCACAGTCGCTTGATGGTTTGTACCTGCAGGCACGTGCGTGCATGCACACATACACACAGACACGCAGCAAAATTGCAATTTGATTCAGATCTTTGACTTTACTTTGGGCATTGTGCATGTATGTGTTCTAGTAATGTAAAAGAGGTCAACTTTCCAGATTCTAAATATGACTGATAAAGTGTTATACGCCTTTAATCCCAGCACTCCAACGGTAGAGGCAGGAGGATCTCTGTGAGTTGGAGGCCAGCCTGGTCTACCAGGACTACCTAGAGAAACCCTGTCTCAGAAAAATGGACTTAGATGTCTTTCATAGTCCATCATGCTACATTGGTTGGTTTACTATAGGAGGAAAAAGATAAATTATCATTTAAGGAAATTGTGATTCTTAAAAAACCCTATAGGGATTCTAAAGTGCTAAAGGGGGCCACACCCATAGAGCCTGGGTTTTCTGAATTTCTCATTGAGTAGAATGTAACCTGCAGTCAGCAGGCTTTACTTTGGTTTTTCTTGATGGAGAAATGACCTCTTGTATTGAAGTTGGGAAACTTGAAAGATGTTTTTATTTTTTCCCCCACTTTAAGGCTATTCTTGCCAGCCTTCTGTGTGTTAGCAGGAAGTAAAATTTGTAGGACAGCTTCCAAAGCATCCCCAATGTGGTCCCCTGCACTCTGATCTCTGCCATGTTTCATCCACACAATCTCTGGCTTCTCCACATTCATCCTGAGTCTCAGCCTGAGATGCATCAGCTCTCCCTCTTAATTCTCTGAGTCTGAACTGTTTATCATCTGTTATTCTGCTTTTTATCCCCAGTTCATAGACACCCTGACCAAGCCAGGTTCCTAAAAGTTTCCTCTCACGGTCTCTTCATGGATCCTCTCCTACAGGGTCCTCAGTCAGTGAGGTTTTGTGTTCTGACTCCCATGTCTGCCTGGTCTGTCTACACATCAGCTTGGAGCTCTCTGACACTCCAGTAATCTGGAGGGTGGTGCTACCTTTCCAACTACTCTTATTGTGCATCTATATTCTTCAACCTGAAGTGCAGTGCCTTTGTTCCCAGAGTCAGCTGCTGGAAACCCCCCTCGTGTCTATATTAAACTCTTCCCCTCCTTAACTTTATATATGAAGTCAGAAGAAAAGTCTTAATTTGCGTTTGGGCTGGACTCTTAACTCAGAGCTATTCTGAGAAGCTAAACAGGTGGGCTGTTTTGCCGAATTCCTCGGTGACCACCCTGGTCTACAATGGCTCTCCATGCACTTTCTCGGTGACCTTGATCAAGGCAGGACCCCCGATTACCCTCATCTATAGGCCTTCACCCATAAAGCTGCCTCTAGAATCTAGGTTAGAGCAGGTTGGCTGGCTTTGCCCTGGTGCAGGACACTGCCTGATACCTGGGTGATCTAGCCTGTCCTCACCACCATCTCATTGGCCGCTTCTTGCCTGGCTGGCAAGCCCATTTCATTTTTCCCCCTCTTCCCCCTTGCAGGGAAAGCGTTGAGAAAAGACACCCCAGCCATCCTTCCCCAGCACCTCCCGTCCCGGTGAGCGCCCTGGGCCATAACCGCAGCTCCACTGATCCGACGACCAGGGGTCATTTGAATACTGAGGCTCGTGAGAAAGATAAACCAAAAGAGAGGGAGAGAGACCACTCGGGATCCCGAAAGGACCTGACCACCGAAGAGCACAAAGCCAAGGAAGGCCACCTGCCTGAGAGAGATGGGCACAGCCACGAGGGACGTGTAGCAGGCGAGGAACCCAAGCAGCT